AAATAATTAAAGAAAAGACAAATTAAAATATTACTATAGATCACACATATGATAAATAATCGAGGCAAGAATACAAATGCATTTGCATTTAATTTTGACATTATTTTTAATAAATAATGCTAATTATTGCTAAAAAATAATTTTTATACAAATATGTTTATAGTAACGAAATCTTATAATATAATAAATCATGGAAATTGGTATAATTAATTTTATAAACACCTTTTTGTTTCTCAAACTCAAATGTATGCTTACATTAGTATCCCATTTAATGGTCATGCATATATCAACTTTCATTTTATTAAATTCGAAAGCTTTTCACAAGTTCGAACAGTTAATAACGGTACTCTAGGGCAAATTAAAATTACATTTGCGGTTTTACGTCATGACGTTTTACAGAACCACCCTTGCCAGTATTCATAAAGCGGAAAAGAGAGCATATCAAGCTTAACTTTAGAGTATCACGGGATAGAGATCTCTAGGTCAGTTAGAACATAAAGTGCTTTTATTCTTGAAGAGAACAGAACAAATACCCCATTTCTATTCTGCTACTGTAGAATTCTCGTAGTATTAGGTAGTATTAGGTACAAGTGTATTGAGATTAAATTGCGTCGCAATACGCCCAACAACTGTTTCAGAGATAATAACATAAAAAGAATTTTTTTGGAATGCAACGATAAGTCGGCACTACCATTTTTCATAAAACATGCGATTCGCAAAAGGAGTGTTATAGATCTTTTTTCTTTCTTGTTGATTGTCGCTTATTTTTAGCGAAATTCCATCATGCTATTTTCTAGATGTTTTTATTAGATATGTGAAAAGTGAGCCAGCTTTGATCTGCATTCTATCTGTATTCATGGTTTAAATATGAGATAATCGACAAGTGCTTGTATAAAAAAAATTGATAAAAATAATTTTATCGTCTGTACGCGGAACAATATATTAGATATTATGAATAAGCCAGTACGTGATATATCGTTATGATACTGAAAGAATATATATGTTTTATATATCGCAACTTGTTTATCTTGAGTGATACCCCCGCGATTATCTATATACTTATCGGAAACAAAACCCAAGCTTAGTTTTAGATGATGTTTTGTTTGTGGCAAAAGTTTAATCAACAAGATAACAAAATTCATCGTCGAAAAGCTCGGTGATAGAAAATTTCCCAGTAGATAAGGTACTTTAGAGTCAGCCACGCGTGGTGCATATGTATTCGAAGGAAGACGCGAATGTTCGTTCGTTAATGCGTAATGAAATTACACGAATACACGTGTCAGTCTCGTCTCTTTCATTTTTCACAACTTCCTCTATGGAACGTCAATCTCAGTGTTTTTTCATTGGAAGTGGAACGAAGCGCTGGTTTTTCCAATATCCATAAGAATAAAATAATCATCTAAAGTATGCATAGAATTATATTCTTTATGTACTAACAAATTTTGCAGAATTTGTAAGGATTAAATTACTTGGGTAAAAAACAAAACAAAAAATTTATCAATATAATTAATAGTAATTGATTGAGGAAAATATTGTTTAACAATCACACATAAAATTATAAATTTGCAAAGACTCTTTATTAATTATTTTATTATTTCAGTTTTAATTTCATTTTATCAAATACATTATTTTTTATTAACAAGAAATTACTTTATTTTTCTTTCAATTCTTTTATTTTATATTATGTATTTCGCCGAATATTTAATATTATTTAAAAATAAAATAAAAATTATATTATAAATTTTATAATTACTATATTTGATATTTGCATAATATAAATTAGATCATATTAAGAGAGAAATTTTAATATACTAAGTAATCAACTTTTAAATATAAATTGCTAAAAAGTTATATTAATAAAATTAATAATTATTGTAAAAGTTATTAAAACATAGTTTCAAATAATTAATTAATAAATAATTAAAAAAGATTAAAAAATTCTTATGTTGTCTCCTTTACTTGGCGAACTAGATTGATTAATCTTCTTAATCTTATTTTGCAGAGGAATATATACGTCTAACATGCATATTTGTAATTATACTTGCGATAATTAGAGTGTAATGTTTGCGATTATTATAAATTCACCTGCATCAGTCACTACCCATATATAAGTTTATGCAGAACGAGCTATAAATCCCAACAGTTATCGACGATCTGACTGGTTACAATGCGTTTCTTTTTGTATGTATGAATAAGGAAAGAAATGTTTTGCAGAAATAGCTGAACAACATCCATAAGAAAGGAAGTAATCTGACTGCAAATATATGAATATCGCATTCTGTTTGCATAACAAATGCAACGATCGATTTGTTCTCGAGAACGTTTGTAAATTGCTTGGCACTTTAACTGGGCACTTTAAGCGAACGATCGATGCCCGTTCTGAAAATAACGTCATAACGATCGCTATAAAATTTATAAAAGATCTAACACGAAACGTCTGATCTGCATTGTCTGCAATATGAATTGTTTTCAATCTCAAAATACATAGAAAGTTATACTATTATTCGCCGCATTATTATTCGCCGCTGCTGTTTCAACGATACGATGAGAATACACATTATTTCTATTTATAATCAAATGATTACTATTAGTTAATCGCAACGCGTAATTGCAAAGGCGTAATAATTTTATCGTATCCATTGTATCGCGGTATAATCGGTGGTACATTAATTCATTTTCCGTTTATACATAATTCTCGTATTTTCTCGTGCATTACATATTGAATATTGACGAGATTACAAAACGATTGCAGAGAAGTTATTTACAATTTGTACTTGGCACAACGCGGAAAAACATGATGAACTTGGACGGCCAATATTTGAGATAAACTGTTATTTCCGCAGTTAGTCAAAGCGAAATCATCCATTTGTCAAATCCATCCACTTCTACTTGGTCAAGTTTAATATTCTCTGCGTCTGTATCATATAATTCACTTTGATATAATATAGCGTTTATAAATTCCATTGTGTCAATTTCGTGATATCAATCGATTTTGTAAAGAAAAAGTGCATGTATATAATAATGCGCCTTTAAAATCAAACATATTAATTATTGATCTTAATGTTAGAGAGATATTAATGTTTATTGATCTTAATGTTACAGATTTTAATGTTACACAATCCTAAATATTTTATTTTTCATAATAATATTCGTTAATAAAGTAACATTCTTCTTCAACTGTTAATAATTTAAAGAAATGTTATTACAAAACGTAGATAAAGAGATATATATTAAACAATTACTTTGTTATATTTTTATTTTTCGTTAAAATAATTTTCATAAGTAAATAATCAGTGAATAATCATAAATAAGTGAAGATAATTCAAGCCTGTGACAACATTATATTATGGAATTCTAAAAATAAATGTTATTTATTCCACGTGATATGTCAACAAAATATTGTATTTTTAAAGAGGAGTACTTTTAATGCTTATTCAAAGCTAGAGAGTACAGCATTGGACACAGCATTGGACGTTATTTTTTATTATCGGATGAAGTATTCATCTAAGCAGAACTGAAGAGAAACATTTCGTTTCATATATTTCATTGCTTAAATGCGCTACCTAAGTTCTAGAAATATAGGATTAATTATTACAGCAATACGAGAATGATCATTTGTGGATATTTTACAAACTAATTTAGAATTTCATTTTCGGATCTCTTCATATTTCCCATTAAATTTTATATTAACTGGGCTCATTAACAACGAAATAATTATAATTTACGTTGCGATCAGTGTCATAATTCTCGCGATAGATGCTTTCGATATATAATAATTTTAAAACAGCCATTAACATAATCCGCAAAAGTCGGGTATTACTGCCGTGTTGCAAGGAACTCCCATTATACATATCAAGAGGATTATACGGAAGAAGGACAGTGACCTCGTACAGCACGCAATGTCTCTAATTCCTCATTATCAATAATTACACATGTAATCGCGTGGCTGCTGGGCCTTTTCACTACCGATGCACACTCCAAGCAAGCACTACACCCCGTGCTTTCGATACGAGTGTTCGCGCAAACTGGGGCAGATATGATTAAATGAAACGTTACTCTCCCTATAGATCTTAGGCTCTGGGGCATCTCTTGCTGTTCATGTTGAATTTTCCCTGCACATACAGCCTCGCGGCGACAACAACGCAATGTAATATCAAATTCAAGATTTGAAGTGAAATATCTTGAGAATATCTGGGAAATTGTGTCTAGAGAATCTTAAGAATCTGAGAAAGCATGTGCCAAAAAATAGTCGCTCAATTGATTTTTATCTGACGTAGATATTTTTGGATACGCTTGGTATTAATAAAAATTTTTATATG